AAAAAAAAAAAAAAAAAAAAAAAAAAAAAAAAAAAAAAAAAAAAAAAAAAAGAAAGATATTGTCAGATTCAATTTTTCTAAGGCAATGTTCAATAATATGCTATCTACAAAAACCCTATTTTAAATAAAAGAACAGGTAAGTGAAAAGTAAAAGAAAAAATGTACACCAGGTATACACTAATCAAAATGTAAGAATGCCATCATCTGAGTTGATCCGATGTTATTCAAACTAGTCAAAGGAATATGTTATCAGCAAAATTCTAAAACAGTAGAACAAAAACTAATTAATGTCTTTCCAATACAATGACAGACCAACTGATAAAAGCCTGGAAAATCAATAAAGTGACAATGATAGATTTCTCCCCTGCTTTTGGGTTAGTCAAAGGGTAGATGCTCTAACAATACCATTTCCTAAACTATCTGCAGATCCTCATCGTTATGAATGAGAATAGCACTGATTGCTTAAAATACAACATCATGATTCCATCTATTCAACAAGACTATAAACTTCTGTATTGTTCCTGGATTTCTAAAACTACAAACTTAGTTGAGTATTACATAAAACAATCACTAAAACCCCCAAGTTTAGAATAGCAATTTATGTTTTTTGTTTTTATCATAAAGCAACATGCATAATAAAAAATGTTGGAAGGCTGCGCAAGGTGATTCATGCCCATAATCCCAGCACTTGGGAGGCTGAGGCGGGCGGATCACGAGGTCAGGAGTTCAAGACCAGCCTGGCCATGATGGTAAAACCCCATCTCTATTAAAATACAAAAATTAGTTGGGTGTGGCAGCAAGTACCTGTAATCCCAGCTACTTGGGAGGCTGAGGCAGAGAACTGCTTGAACTTGGGAGGCAGAGTTTGCAGTGAGCCGAGATAGCGCCACTGCATTCCAGCCTGGGTGAAGAAGCAAGACTCTGTCTCAAAAAAAAACAAAAACAAAAAAAAGCAGAGGGAAAAGATTCTGAAATAATTATTTTCATCTGTAAATCCAGCACAAAGAGAAAATTTCTGTGTAACGTTCAGACCCTTAGCAATAATAATAAACCAAAAACTACTAAGTTCCCAACCCAGCTCTACTAAATGCAGTTCCTAAATGAAGTGCCAATACTTAATCCTTCTGAAAAGGTTTCTCTAGGCAATCCATGATAAATGATCTGCTGCTCTTGTTACAGAATGAATTACACAATGTTTTATTACTCATTGTGGTAGTATGGGAAGCAATGCCATATTATTGTTGCTGTTATTTTCCATCATAAGCAGTCACAACTTACAAACATCTATTATATACATACATGGTTGCCTTATCATCAAAGCCCTTGCAACCAATGAGAATCTACAGAGGAAAAGAATGCATGGTTTCAGAACAGAGGCAAAGAAAACCTGTGAAGAAGAGCAGCAACTTATAGTAACTAACCCTACAGAAAACTCCCTGATAGAACAGGTCTGCCTTAAGAGTAGCTTTCTTAATAAAAAATAAAAAATCTTCACAGAAAGTCTTCAATTATAAAATTATTTGAATTATAAGCATACATTTAAAAAATTTAAATTCCTTTCATAAGAGTTACTGGTCTCTCATTTTACTTAAATTTCTTTGGGACTATACGTGAAAAATGTAGCGTTTCCTAGATAATTCTGGAACATCTTATAAAGAGCAGTATCAAATGATAAAAATAGAACATGTTACACAATTAACTTTAAATATTCTAGTAGTGACATTTCATTTTTATTTTATTTATTTATTTATTTTTTGAGACAGAGTCTTACTCCATCACCCAGGCTGGAGTACAGTGGCGTGATCTTGGCTCATGCTGCCTCTGGCTCCCAGGTTCCAGCGATCCTCCTGCCTCAGCCTCCAGGGTAGCTGAGGTTACAGGCGTGTGTCATAAGCCCAGCTAATTTTTGTATTTTTAGTAGAGATAATTCTACTGTCTCTACTAAAGATACAAAAAAGTTCAACATGGGTTTCACCGTGTTGGCTAGGCTGGTCTTGAACTCCTGATATCAGGTGATCCGCCCGCCTTGGCCTCCCAAAATGCCAGGATTACAGGCATGAGTCACTGCACCCGGCCCGCATTTTAAAAATGAAAAAGAAACAAGTATAATATTTTACTTAACCCAATATATCCAAAACATGTAATTCCAACATACAATGTAAAAATATTTAATATTTTAAAAATACAAATTCTTTAAAATCTTGTATATATTTCACACTCAGAATACGTCTCATTTCAGATTAGCCATATTTCAAAAGCCCTGTTTCTTATGGATTAAAAACACTTTGTAGGGCAAGGCAGCACATTGATAGATATCCACTTACCTAAACACAAATTACAGTTCTGGTACTTGAGAAGCAGAATGAAAATCTCATAAAACATAGCTAATAGAGAGTTGAAAAGCGTGTATTTTAGATATGTTTAGACTATTGGCATGTTTGTTCAGACAAGTACAGTCACTAATATGACAATAATATTGTCAAATGTTTTGGAGAGCTAGCTAAAGCAAGAAACGTGTAAACAATATACATGACAATTTATAAAATTAAATATTGGGAATATGACATTCATAATTTGAGGGCTATTAGATTTTATATTTAAGTCTCTCCAATCAATTATTAAATGTTATTTGACTAAAGCTTAATAATAATATAAAATAACCCATCAATTAATTTAAGCTACAAATCAGCCGTTCTGCATAATAATTTGTGTTTCAATGAAAATATTTCAGCTTTCAGATGCCTATGCCCAAGGAAAAAAAAATTTCAAGTGTCATCTTTAAAAATACTTAAAACCTTTTCATGTTTCTCCCTGGATAAAGATGAAATCTAAACATTTTATCAAGGAAGAGAGGCCTTTGTGATATGACTGTTACTTACCACAGCCCCCACCCTCATCACCTCAAAGCTCTCTCCACTTCACATTCTACATTCCAGCCAGGCTAAGTAGCTCCTGGTAAACTGTGTCCTTATACTGCCACTGTCCTTCTCTCATGCTTTTGCTGAATAAATTTCTACAAGTCCTTCAAAATTCAACTTAAAACTTAAAACTCAATGTCTTCTACATTCCTATACTTTTTTATAGTATACAGTTAGATAGAATTAATTAGTTCCAATTCAGTGTTACTTACACACAATGAATATAACATTATTTAAATATTATTTGTCTGTATATTTCAAATCTTTGAGTGGAACACTCTGTAATGGCTTTTAATTCAAACT